GTGAAGGCCGTGTAGACGGTGTGTTGTGAAGGCCGTGTAGACGGTGTGTTGTGAAGGCCGTGTAGACGGTGTGTTGTGAAGGCCGTGTAGACGGTGTGTTGTGAAGGCCGTGTAGACGTGTGTTTGTGAAGGCCGTGTAGACGGTGTGTTGTGAAGGCCGTGTAGACGGTGTGTTGTGAAGGCCGTGTAGACGGTGTGTTGTGAAGGCCGTGTAGACGGTGTGTTGTGAAGGCCGTGTAGACGGTGTGTTGTGAAGGCCGTGTAGACGGTGTGTTGTGAAGGCCGTGTAGACGGTGTGTTGTGAAGGCCGTGTAGACGGTGTGTTGTGAAGGCCGTGTAGACGGTGTGTTGTGAAGGCCGTGTAGACGGTGTGTTGTGAAGGCCGTGTAGACGGTGTGTTGTGAAGGCCGTGTAGACGGTGTGTTGTGAAGGCCGTGTAGACGGTGTGTTGTGAAGGCCGTGTAGACGGTGTGTTTGTGAAGGCCGTGTAGACGGTGTGTTGTGAAGGCCGTGTAGACGGTGTGTTGTGAAGGCCGTGTAGACGGTGTGTTGTGAAGGCCGTGTAGACGGTGTGTTGTGAAGGCCGTGTAGACGGTTTGTTGTGAAGGCCGTGTACACGGTGTGTTGTGAAGGCCGTGTAGACGGTGTGTTGTGAAGGCCGTGTAGACGGTGTGTTGTGAAGGCCGTGTAGACGGTGTGTTGTGAAGGCCGTGTAGACGGTGTGTTGTGAAGGCCGTGTACACGGTGTGTTGTGAAGGCCGTGTACACGGTGTGTTGTGAAGGCCGTGTACACGGTGTGTTGTGAAGGCCGTGTACACGGTGTGTTGTGAAGGTAAACTGTCTCACTCTTGGCCTCATGTCCGCCCTCGTTCTAAACAACAACAAACAATTTACATTAGAATGTTGTGGTTGTGATGCTAAAAGGGAATTATCAGGGGGAAAGCGCCAAGCCACCAAGACTATATAGCACTTGGAAGAGATCAGGATAAGGAGGATTTGAGATGGGACGGGAGGAAGGAATGGTGGCCAACCACTTGGACGGTCGGGGATTGAACGCCGACCTGCATGAAGCCAGGCCGTCGCTCTGCCGTCCTGCCCAAGTGGTGGGGTTGAGCGTGATGCTAAAGAGCTTCATATGCAGGTCGACCAATAAGTATATTTTGCTGTTAATTACTTCAAAATTATGTTTTGTATTTCTTCCAGGAACATTATAGAAATGATTTTTTTTTACATGGTTAGCAAAATGACATTCTGCTCAGCTATTAAGTCAACGTTTGTCGGCAGAGACCACCATGACTTTGCAAAGACATGCAATAATAAAGTAGATCTGACGGCTGAGTGGACAGCGTTCGGGATTCGTAGTCTTAAGGTCTTGAGAGTGACTGGGTTCGATCCCCGGCGGAGGCGGAAACAAATGGGCAGAGTTTCTTTCATCCTGATGGACCTGTTCACCTAGAAGTATATAGGTACCTCGGAGTTAGACAGCTGCTACGGGCTTCTTCCTGGGGATGTGTAACAAAAAGGAGGCCTGGTCGAGGACCGGGCCGCAGGGGACGCTAAGCCCTGAAATCATCTAAAGATAACCTCAAGATAACCACTTTCCCACAGCTGACCTCAAGTGGCAAATCGCAGAGCATCTATACGTGCACTAACGTCAATATATTAACAACATTCAGCCACAGTACACAGCCCACAGTACACAGCCCACAGTACACAGCCCACAGTACACAGCCCACAGTACACAGCCCACAGTACACAGCCCACAGTACACAGCCCACAGTACACAGCCCACAGTACACAGCCCACAGTACACAGCCCACACACAGTACACAGCCCACAGTACACAGCCCACAGTACACAGCCCACAGTACACAGCCCACAGTACACAGCCCACAGTACACAGCCCACAGTACACAGCCCACAGTACACAGCCCACAGTACACAGCCCACAGTACACAGCCCACAGTACACAGCCCACAGTACACAGCCCACAGTACACAGCCCACAGTACACAGCCCACACGCCTGTAGAGCGACGCCTTACCACGAGACCGACCATCTTGAAGATTAGGCATTCACACCTTCAGCACGCTGCTATGTGAGTGATTTTTTTTTTTAATTTTGCCCCGAAGGGCGAGTTTATTGGGCAGCGCCACTCATCCTGTGAGTGGACACACCGCCATAGTGACAGTATTGGGCAGCGCCACTCATCCTGTGAGTGGACACACCGCCATAGTGACAGTATTGGGCAGCGCCACTCATCCTGTGAGTGGACACACCGCCATAGTGACAGTATTGGGCAGCGCCACTCATCCTGTGAGTGGACACACCGCCATAGTGACAGTAATGGGCAGCGCCACTCATCCTGTGAGTGGACACACCGCCATAGTGACAGTATTGGGCAGCGCCACTCATCCTGTGAGTGGACACACCGCCATCGCAGCATGTATAACACTCCCCAATAGGAAGAAAACCCGCTGGGTTGTTCAGCCTGTCACTTGTACCCAGACGTGAGTTAAGTCATTCTATGAGAGTGTGAGGCCGGCATTACTGTAAGTGCTAAAGTCTGTTTTATTCTGTTATTGTGTATTTTCACGCCGATCCTTGATCAGTCCGAGGTTTACTCACCTGCAACAGGTGATGGCCAAGTTTACAGACAGACCATTGGTGAACAATTGATTATCTGTGTGTATGATGACTGCTCAACCTGTCAAAATGAATGTGTAATTTACACACCAACACACACACACATTTAGTATTGGTATGGTATAATGTGCACATATAACTTGTACATATTATATGAACTGTCGGGTTAACAGGTCATTATTGAGTTGATTGTGCTTGTAATTATATTGTTGGTCAGTTATCTAGTATGACCGCAAGATATCAGTCTAGAGGACCGCATGATACCAGTCTAGAGGACCGCATGATACCAGTCTAGAGGA